CCACATCCTCAAGGGCAACTTCGAGAACTACGGCAAGGTACGCAGCTCGATCGACAACAAACAAATAGCGGTGCTTCGATCGTAAATCGCAAATCAATGTTTTGAAGAAACTGTTCTTCTTTTCTGTGTTTAATCATAAATCAATTCATTAAAATTTAGTTCTTCAAAGATCTTTGTATCTTTCATCCTCCATGAATCCTTTTTCCCATCCTTAGTGTCTAATTTAACATAGAAATCTAATCATCGAGACTTTTTTGCTTCTCGTTTAGTAAGATAGCAACATGATATAACAACTTCCTTAGTGTCTCAATACATCGGTATTAACCGAAATTGTGAACCTTATTTATTACCTTAGCGTCGATACTCTGTATATATAAAAATAAACACGAGTCACAATCAAGAATATATTCAGTGCACATACGATGGTTGAGGCAAGAATAACTAGTATTGTGAGGCTTATTTACTACCTAATCACCAAGGTAATCAACTGTGACAACAATGTCACAATGACACTAGAAGATACAAGGAAAAGAAAAGAAACACAAAAAGAATTTTATGAGACTAAATAAAAGCAAGGCAACAGTCCATATTAGAAATAAGCACACAAGAAATAATATTCCAATTTGAGTCCAAAACGATGCAGACAAAATGAAGATTCAAGTTTCTAGTAGAACAAAAATTAAAAATGAAGAAACTACTTCTATAAATTGATAAAAGTCATACCAGATAATCAATAATAGAGAAAAATAATCTAGGATGGCAAGTTATAGGTATGCTTAATATAGGAGTGAGGATATAGATAAGTTACTTGAAAAACAAAAGCAAGTAATACTAACTCAATTTTGTTACTTTTATTAGCTTTCGAGACATCGTATTATCATAGCGTCACGTTTCACAATTTAATAAATTTTATACTTATTTGATGGGATGGTTAAGAGATCCTACTAAGATTTGAAAAAATTTGTAAACAAAATTAAATATGTCAAACTAGCTCATTCAGCAAATTTTACAAATTAAAAGACCGATAAATGGTGAAAAACATTTTGGTTATTTACACAAAATGAAGAAGATATTAAAAGATTTAGTTATTTACACAATAATGAAGTAGATATTAAAAGTTAGAAAGATAGAAGAGAGATTTGCAAATATTTCTATTGGCTTAAAAAAAACCAATAATAACATACTAAAAAGAAAAATAAAATAATAAGATCCTCAAAACATAATGTGATGGAGACCATGATTCGCTTTACCGGTCAATACCAGTATATCGACTAACTATCAGTACGGTATATATCAAGCTATACCGAGAATATTGATACATGGTACATGCAGATATATCAATATACCGCTCGTATCGATCTCCGATCGAACCAGTACATATTGTCCGTATCGAACGATATGTCATGGTACAACAAACCTTCATGGGGACTATATATAAGACAAATGATAGAGAAAAAAAATTAGAAGAGAGACTTTGTACATAATTTTTATTGGATATATAAAAATCACATGATACAATTTCATAAAGCATGATGTCATGGACTAAAAAAAAAAGAAAATAGCTTTGAGTAGTTATTTAATTGTGGATGATGATGAAGATTATATAACTGTGAAGAACAAGATACTTGAGACAATTGCATTCCTGATGATGAAAGAACTGTATAGCAGGTGAGCAGGGTTCTTATTTCTTTGCAATAGAAAACACTCAGCATATGTTATCAATAAGTTTCTGTAATGTACATATTTAGTGATACTATTGTCTTAATTAATAAGATGGACCAGATATTACCTTAAATCAGCATTAGAGTAAGAAGCTCTATGTAATCTGCAGCAGAATAAGTTAGAATAAGATGAAAAGTATGGAACGCAATTCGATTTATATGCCATGAACTAAGACAAATTGAGTTAAATTCATAAAATACCAAAAAAGTAATAAAAAAAATCCTAATTTGCCATTAGTAACTAAGAAAGCCAAGTAGAACAAAAGATGGAAAATTTCCCTTCCCAAGACCTATATTTCAACAAGATCCACTTTTAAGGCTCTTCTTTTGCTAATTCAAAGAAGTATCATCACTAAAATATACATCAAAAAGACAAATAGGAAGTGTTGCTCTAGATCACGCAGCAATACGTATTGATTGATATTTATCAGGCTGATGAAAAATTAATGTCAAGTCATAGTATTTATCTTCTTTTCCATGATGTTGCATGCTATATACAAATGTATACAATAACCATCGTACGAAAGAGCACATCTTATGTTAGATAAAAATATAAAATTATCATGCTATACAAATAACTACCTATATAGCAAAATCATATCAATTTATAGAGAAAAAAGTATATCAACATATCATGGCAACAAAAGATAAGAAGCATGAAAACGTTAAGCTTCTTTTTGATTGGTGAATCTTCACACTGATAATACCGGTTATACTAATATTTATGCATGCATTGTATGATGGAGTTGCAAATAAAAACAAAATAATTACAATGACTTAAGATTGTATATAATACATATAAAATTTCAGAATTGACAGGCTGCAACACACCAAATAAGAAGAAAGAAAACCGCTTGATGAAATCGATTCATTGTTTTCTCCTCAGTTTATCCAGCCGATTAGCATCATGAATTCAATTTGTAGAAGAAATTACCTGATGAAGCATTTACAATCTTTTGACGTTGACTTTCCTGGTCAACTTCCACTCTTAGTCCCATTCGAGAAATTTCAGGTGTGATAACTGGTTCCATTCAGCAAGTATCGCACTGACAATGTTGCCCATTCTCTCAATAAAGGCCAACATTCATCAACAACACACCGTCGCACGAGCAAAGAGACTCCATCTTGCTTTCTGATATCATCTTGAACCTGCTTCCTTCCGTGTAGGAAATTGCAAATGATAGAAACTACGTCTGTCTCAAACCCTACGTAAGGACAGACTTTCAAATATGTGGATGTCTGTATTGCCCGGTTCTTAGCAATATACGAGGGCTCCAGTTATCGAAGAAATCTTAAAAGAAGTCGTAGGAGGCCTGCAGATAGCAGTGAGTTAGCAGGGTCCTCTGCAGCTGGTGAGGAATGAACCTTCCAGCAAACATATATTCCTCAGAATTACAAATGAGTTCTTTAGAATAATAATTTATATTTTGTTATGTTATATCTCAACTAGTTGATTCCACCAAATGAAAACATCGGTTGAAACTAATTTCACCTTCTACACTGTTACTAATCTTTTGGTCAGTAATTTTTTAAATTATAATCTATCTTGTTCACTCTAATATTATAATATCAATCATCATTTGAAAAATTATTTTATCATTTTTTAAAATCTTAAACTTTTAAAACCTTAAAGTATGTTATTGTTTATGTTATTCATAACTATATTTCTATGGTTTATACAAGTTAATATCAATATCCAAATCTTGTCTTGTACTTTTTTTCGATGCCATAATCCTCAAATTCAAAAGGTTTTTGTGTTATGTCAAATTAATTTTATTAAGTCAATCTTTCCATTCTAAAATTTTACTTCTTTAATAGTACAAGTCACTACAATAACCATTCATCGTTATGTTCATATGAGTATACCTCAAATCTTCTCAACCATACCTCTCACCATATCAATCAGTAGTTCTCTAGACCTATGTTTTCTTATTACTCCAGTTGAATGGCACCTCGTCCCTCTGAAAATTCTTTATCTACTTTTCAACCAATTCATTATGCAATGCCCAATGAAGCAACACTCTCATCATCATAAATGATATATTTGTCCTCTCTTCGGCTAAGTGACACAGAAGTGCATGAGCTTGATCAGCTACGTGTCACTAACTCTTCACCAATTTTCATACCTTTAATACAACTCAATAATATTATCGAGCTTAGACATTCAATGGCAACACGCCCTAAATATAATATTTTTAAAACATATCAAATCCTTGATCTCTATGCTACCACTAGTTCTCCACTTGAGCCTACTAAACTCAACTATTACCCAAGCCTAAAAATCTCGACACTAGCATAATGATATATCATCACATGTAAAATATCATCAGGTGTAAATGAATATTTCGAATTAAGCATAACCCAGATGGATCTATTGCCAAATACAAAGCATATCTAATAGTCAAAGGTTTTACCAACGATTCAGTGTTGATTTCAGAGGGATCTTCAATCCAATTACTAAATTAATGATAATTTGACTTATTTTGAGTTTGGCTATTATTCAAGGCTAGCATATACGCTAATTAGATATTAGCAATGGCTTCTTACAATGGATCTTAACTTACTATATCTTTACAATGGATCTCAATATCCAAACTATATTTATAAACTATGAAAAATTATT